TCTAGGGTGCTGGGCCTCTTGCGCGAGAAGGACCGCGAGATTCTGCAGCTGCGCTGCTCGCTAGCCGTTAGTTATCGTTACGCCGCGTTCGCGATTCACCGGCAGCGCCAGCAGCACGCGCCCGGTGTTTCCGCTGCGTCGCTGACGGCAATGGAGTCGCGCTTCCTCGGCGCGCTGTCGGGCACCGTCAAGAGCCCCGAGCAGGACGCGCCGCTGCTCGTGAACCGTGCGCCCCCGCACGTGCACGGCCTGCCAGACGTGCCGCTTCCGCTTGGCCTCCCGCGCAGTGTCGCCCAAGTCAGCGGGGTGCTGTCGATGCTCAACGTGGAGGACATGTTGCAAAAGAAAGTCCCCACCCGCATTCTCGCGCGTGCGTGGCGGGCGTGCTTCGTTGTCGTCGACGACCGCGGACTGGCGGTGTACCGCAGCGAAGAGGACTACCGTCAACACGCATTCCAGTGCGCTCTGGTGGTGGCGCCGTTCCGTGACATGGAGTACTTCGTGCCGTCCTTCCGCGACTTGCCGATGCGGGAGGAGGAGTTGTGTGACGCCGTGGCGGTCGGCGGCGGCGGTGGTCAGCAGAAGCAGCGGCATCGCCATGGGGGGCGCAGCAGCAGCAGCACCAGGAGGTTCCTCCGCACCCTCATCGGGAGGGGCAAGCGGAAGGGTGCCTCAGACGCGAGCGAGGGGCACGATAAAAGCGACGAGGAGTTGGGTTCGCAGGAAGATGGCAGCAAGCCCTCGCAAAGAAAGCGCTTTGATGTGTACGAAATGCAAATGGCCCGCATTGCCATTGAGCACGCAAACGACGTGAACTATGCGTACTTTGGTTTCATTGCGAAGCAGCCTGCGGCGCATGTGGGAGGAAAGGTGGTGAACCCGCCTATCCTCTTTCGCTCGCAGAGCGCGCAGGAGCACGTGGAGTGGGCGCACTACTTCGCACAGTGCTTCAACCGCAGGTTATACCGCGAGATGTTCCCTACAGCTCTCGCCGAGTCGTACGCGGGGACTGGCACGAAGGAGACGCAGACAGACGTGGAGGTCACAGAGGCTATTGAAGCAGCAAGAGCAGAAGCAGCAACAACAGAAGAAAGCACGGCAGCGGAGGAGAGAGAGAAGGTGGCACATGTTGTCGCAGAGGTGGAAACAGAAGTCGCGGGAGTAACCACAACGGATGTGGCATTACAATGTTCCCCACCCCAGGGGATCGATGCGGCAACCAACACGGAAGAGGCAAACAGGGAGTGGGTCTTGTCGTCGTCATCGTCGCCGGTGCTGGCTACAACACCACCGCCGCCGCCGCCGCCGAGCAGCACGCCACCCATGTGGAGCGTCATGGAGCGTGGCGGCGGCGCACAGGCTGTTGACAGCGCAGATGGAGACATCCCACAAGCCAGTAGTGAAGCGGCAGTTGTGGTGGTGAATGCCGGCGAACCACAGGAAGTGCCGTGGAAGGAACTTGTCATGGAACTACGTGAGTTGTTGGTGACCAAAAACACGGAGCGTGAGGAGCTGCAGCAGGAGTGTGATGGTCTGCGTANCCGTGTTCAGCAGTTGCTGCATGAGTCGCATGAGATGCGTCGGCTCGTGGAAGATCGCGAGCGTCTTCGAGATCAGCTCCAGGACTCCCACGTGGCGCGCAGTGCGGAAGCGCAGCGGCTGCACGAGGCGCTGGAGAGCCTCCACGCGGCGCAAGAATCCGCGCTCACTGCGGAGACGGCGAGGCAGGACACCGCCTCACGCGAGCAGCAGCAGGGGGCGCGTGTCCAGGCGCTGCAGCAGGAGGTGGTGCAGCTGCGCCAGGAGCGAGAGCTGCTCGCTGCGGAGCTGTTGGCGGTGAAGGACGGCTACAGCGAGGGGCTGCGATCGCTGGCAAGGAGGGCCCTGGGGGACATTGACTACCTGCATGACGCCTACACTGCAGAGGAGTACTTGCGCGCCCTGCACGGCAATGATGCCCATCCCCGCGTGGAGCACAGTGACGGAGGCGCGAGCCACGATAGCAGCCGCGACGACACGCCGAGTCCGCAGCAACGGCGTCACGTGCAGCTTCCGAGTGAGCCGCCACCCGCGACGTCTATGCGGCAGCCCGCCGCTGCTGTTGCGGCGGCGACCAATGAGGCGTCGAGGACAGGCGCCACCAGAGACTGCTCAGCGAAATCAAAGAAGGAGCAGCATGTGGCAACTGACGCGGACGCAGTAGGTGTCGCCATGCTTCTTGTGTCCTTTACGCCGCAGCATATGGCTATTGACGGTTGCTTCACCGTCGATGAGGCGCAGGCGCGGCTGCTGCGTAGCGGCCCGTCAGCAACGCAGCGCGGGCGGCAGTGGGTGATTCTACACCACAACACCGGTGCCGTGTTCGCTGTGACAGCAGAGCTTCAGACAGAGGCGCACGCACCGCAAGTAGAAGCAGAGGCAAAAACAACATTACGCGCCGCTTCGCACCGTAATGAACCCAACAACGCGCTGCCACGGAGGGCGTTGCTGCGGCGAGCCTCCTCTGTGTCCACGCCAACGGTGCGTTCCAGCAGTTCGCGACAGCTGCGAGAACGGTTGCTCTCTACCAATGCTGCCGCGGGCAAACCCGTCGCGCGTGAGAAGTCGCGGGTGGGGCAATGAGACGCGTCGCCTTGTTTTACGCCTTTTTTTGTTGTTGGTGGAGCTCTGCAGACATGGAACTCCCCAGGCTGTGGGTGAAGAGAAAGAGAGATATACATATACGTGTGGGCGCTGGGGGAGTGGAGCGGTGCTGTCGCTGTCTAACGTTTCTTTGCGTCAGCTGGCATGAGTGGTCCACCTGTCCCTGGCTGTGTCGGGGTGGGTGGGCGTTTGTTTCTTCTTGCATTGCGCGTTATAGAGGGTTCGAGAGAGAGAGAGAGAGAGAAAGGGATTGGTTGATGGCAATAGCCACGGCACAACAATTCACTGTGTCTAATTATCTCACCTCTTACATACCCCCTCGTTCTCTCTCTCTCTCTCTCTCTCTCTCTCTCTCTCTCGTCTTTCTTTCCATTGTCTCGTCGTCACATGTGGGGTCTTTGGGGAGCGATATCCATGACACTTGGCTGAGCGTGGTACGAGAAAACGGCTGAAGGGGAAGGAAAAGAAAGAAGCACGGATAAGCAGAGGGAAGAGATCGCTATAAAAGCAGCAGCAGCACCTGCTGCTGCTGCAGTGATGCCGGCGTCGCTATCACCCCCACCACCGAAGGGCTTACGGGACGGTGGCACCGCGGAGGAGGTGTTCATCCACCCCTCCGTAGCGCTCACGGTGGTGAGCAGCAGCAAGCTGGAGGTGGGGGCGGATGGGCCGCCGCCGCCGTTTGGTTTCGTGCACGCCACCGCCGTGCATCCGTATGTCATTCGCCTCCGTAGCACAAGCACTTCGACATGCGTCGTGTATCGCGTGATGACAAAGCATTCGGCGTGGTGGGAGGCGGAAGGAACGCATGGGGTTTTGCACCCACCAAAAGAATTCTGCGGTGACTATGACGAAGGCGGCAAAGACAGCGCCTTTAACGATGGCGATTTCTGCGGCACTAAGGAAGAGACTGGTGTCACTGTAGCTGACAAAGACACCTCCGTTGCGTACGTCTCGTTGCGCGTGCAGGCGCCGCTGCTCCTGGACAAGCTCTACGACAACTGGAGGGAGGCGTGCGCCACCGCCCCACACCTAAACCCGGCGCTAAATAAATACACAGCAGCAGGGCCGGGCGAGGTGGTGGCTGCTGTGGTGCAGGGAAGGAAAGGGGAGGGCGAGGGACCTCCAAAGGAGGGAAATGTTATTTTGCCGCCGTCACCGCTCCCTGACTCCTACAAGCGCGGCAGTACCACCACATCGGTGGATGTTCTGAGCGTTCTTCTTGCGGAGCTGCCTGCGTCGCACGCGTTGCTGCGTAGCCCACACGCAGCGGCGCCCAGCCCAGCGGACGCCGAGTTCAACATGTGGTGGAAGCAGGTTGTTGCCGCTGCTGATGTGTATCTGGGCGTTAAGTTAGGCACTGAGAGTCAGGCGGGGCACCAGACGCGATGGAAACGGAAGAAGCACGCGCGTCGGCTGCACACGGTGGTGACGGTGTTCCCGCTCCCTGTGAAGTTGGCGTTTCTGTCGCAGTGGGACTACATCATGGCGCAGACTGTGGTGCTTGAGCGGCGGCTGTCCACGCTGATGAAGACGAAGGCGTCCCTGCAGGAGTTACTGCAGCAGCGGGAAACGGCGTTGCAGATGGCATTGCAGGAGTGGCGGGCGGCGCAGGATGCCCAAACCCGCGCCGTGCGGGAGGCGGTGCGGAATTGGCGTTGGGTGCGTGCGCACGGCTACAGCAACAAGAGTCTGTCACCTGCTGCAGTAAGAGAGGCGGCTGGAATACTCGACGCAGTGGAGCTGGGAGACTCTGAGGATGATGCTGATGATGGCAATAATGAGGGGGTGGTGATTCATTCGGTGGGGCTGGTCACGGCGGCCATTATCTGCAGTTTTCTTGGTGGCATCGGGCTGATATGAAGTATAAACCGAGTCGTGCTGCCTCGTGTTGTAAATTATGCGGCGGCAGGGGTGATCGGGGCAGCACGACTTCCTTCCTGGAAGCCGTTTCTATTCACACTGCCATTTTGTGTGCCTTGCTCTCTTGTCCCCCCCCCTCCAGAAAAAAAAGACTGTTCGGAGTGCAAAGACGCCTGGATTTCTTTTTGTTTTTCCTTTTTTTTCCCCCATATTCTTTTTTGTTCGGTGCTGTTGTTCCTTGGCGCACTGTGCGGCAGGGCTGGTGTGACGGCATAGAATATTGGTACGCACAACTCGATGCCGCTGTTGAAGGCGTGGACAACGCTTCAGCCCAATGGCAAGCTGGAGGTCTCGCTGAGCAATAACTCCGGTCTTGACGCAGACGGATGCTCCATCATCTTCTCGCTTCGTTCCTCCCACCCGGCGTACTTCTCGTTAGTGAGTGCAGAGCTGCCGGACGGCGTCCTTCTGCCGGGGGAGCAGCGCAGGCTTCTACTCGAGGTGGCGCCGGAGTACATGCGGCTAGGTATCACTCCGCATGTGATGAGGCCCCTGCCTGGAGCAGCATCAACAACAACAGCAGCAGCAGCAGAGAGCGGCCAAACAACGACGGAGCTATCGCTGTGGGCGCTTTCGGGCGGAGCGGATTCGACGACTACTCAAAACACCGGTGCGTATTCGATCGGGGACATGCAGAAGCGCCGCCGCCAACACTCCGACGCGAATGTACTCCACGTCAGCACACCGATCCTTAGCGGCAGCGGCAACGATGAAAACGACATCTCGGTCCTGACGGGTAGCCGTTCGTACCGTCAACAGCCGCAGAAGCAAGGCCCGGGCGAGGTGCGCACCAAGACGTTCAAAGAACTGGGACCGGCGCTGTCGCGGAACCAACCCTCTGCTGATGCCGAAAGAGATACAGATAGTTGCCCTGATAGAAGCCATAGCAACCGCAGCTTCCAGCAGCGGTATGAACTTACGCATAGCACGTGCAGCTCCTCCGTTGTGGAACCCGTTGGGCAAATGGGTATGTCACACATCGTCGAAACGCCCAAAGGAGAGGGCCAAGGTGGAGAGTTGTCGGTGAGAGCCCAAAGCAATGCGAGGAACGTCACTTCAGCTAATGATCCCTTGCAAAACGACAGCAATGGCAATAGTGCCGAATCACCACAGTCGGTGTCAGTGCTGGCAGCCGAGCAGCGGTACAATAGATCGTATTCGGACGTTGAGAGTGTCATGCAATCATCTGCTGTTGTGAGTCAATGCACGTCTCCTCAGAGCCCATACTTTTTGGTTTATTATGAACGCCTCGGCAACGAGAGCGCATGTTTGAATGCCGCAAACACATGGCTGTGGTCGGAGCGGTGCAAATACTTGGCGTGGCGAGAGAAGCTGCAGAAAAGCAGCAGCAACAACGGCAGGGGCACGCGTATCCCACCTGTGCTCGGCGGGCCGGTAAGATGGCTAAACAACGTAGACGTGAACATTTACTATGATGCGCAATCCAAGTTCGCGCGCAAGCCGTACAGCCGCAGCTCGGTGAAGATGTTCAAAAAGAGCCGCCAGGGCGGTGGCTGTGTGATGCTTCCGTGCTGCCCACGTAGCACCTTCAAGGCGCCGGTGAACGGCGGAGGCGACAAGATAAGCCTCGCCTCCGACGTGGCGCCAACGCGTGGCTCTGTCGAGCGTGCAGGACAGGGTCTGGCCTTGTTTGAGCTCACGGACTCCCTTCGACGCAGCGTCAGCAGCAACAGTCTGCAGATGCGCGCCGCCGCCACTGCGGCCAGCACCTCTCTGGGAAACTACAGGTCGAGTGAGCAGATATCGTCGTCACCGATGTCGTGTGAGCAATCGTTACTCATGTCCTCGACAAGTGAACGGCTTGGCGCAGGACCGCAGCGGTCATCACGGGATTTTGATGCCATCACCTTGGCCAAGCCACATGCTCTGGATCCCTGTTCATTTGGTGTTCACCATGCCCGCACAGAGACCGAGGGAACGGTGCAGATGTTGGACCGGACGATCCGCGGCGAGAGCACCATAGGGTGGAATTCCCTGGAGAATAGAGCGGAGGGGTTGAGTCAGGTTTCCAACGCAGCCATGTCGACCACAGCACCACCAGCACCAGGAGTACGTGATAGCATTGCCAGCACCCCACTGCTGAGTGCTGAGCGACGAAAGAATGGCCTTCTTGAAGGGTTGATGGGGAGTTTCTGGAGCAAACCCTCGGAGATGGACGACGCGAAGCGGCGTGTTAGTGGTGGTGGTGGTGGTGGTGGTGCGCCTGTAGTTTCAACCGCAGCAGCAGTGGATACCTCACAGGTGCTAACGCCAGCCATGCGTCGCATGTCGGATAGTAGCGTGAATCTTGCCCGTGTACCACCCCCGGTGCCGCAGCGTCTACGGCCCCGCCCCAAGGCGTCCATGCAGCAGAGCTGCGAGCTGAGCATTGCGCAGGTGAGTGATGCCTTGCGCTGTATCGCGTCCAAGTCGGCGCCGCTGATGCAGACGGCTATGGGGGGCACTTTCAGCACTGTTACGTCGAGCGCACAGCTGATTGGCGGCCTCATTGAGGACTCCGTCGATGTGCTGTACGCGGTTGGGATGCCGGTGCTGCTGGTGACGTCGCTGTGTCTGCTGTGGGTAATCTTCGCGACTTCCGGCGACGACGATATGTTGGGGCCCGCGCTGGATTATTACGCATAGTGTGCCGTAGAGAGAGAGAGAGAGAGAGAGAGAGACGCGGCCATCACCTGGTGTGTGTGACGAAGAGAGGAAATATGTGAAAAGAGGAGGAATGAGAGAAACGAATTAAGACAAAAAATGGTAAAAGGGAAAAAAAAAAACGATCGGTGGTGCGGGGGAGAGAGAGTATATATATATATATATATGCTGCAGCTAAGAGGAAACAGGAGAGAGGTGAAAATATTTGCAAAATAAACCAAAAAAAGATTTGTTGAGAGGAAACAAGAAAAATAAAAAAAAAAAACGAAAAAGGAATATGTAGGGTGCGGTACGGGGGGATCGAGTGGGCATCATTAACGCGGCGACTTTGTAGCGCATAGCTGATGGTGTATAGTGACTCTCATTGGCTGCAGGTTTGCATTCGCTTGAGAGTCGTCTTGTGTGTTATTTTTGTATTAGTTGCTACTTCTGTTTGCGTTGGCTTTTTGTTTTTGTGTTTTGATTGAATGAATGATTGGTTGGATGGTTGGCTCACGTTGTAACTGTACCTTGCTACTCCCCGAGGCAAAGGAACAAAGAGGCAAATAACTGAATAACATCAGCAATAAATAAGAATAAAGAAAAAAAAGGAAAGATCAGCAGCAGCAGCAGCAGCGATGTGGGTGTAGATCTGTGTTCGGTGTGATGTCGTTTGTGTAGCAGTTGTGTTTTAGTTGCTGGCGGACGCAGGGGTCTCGACCGCGCCCGTCGCGCTCTTTTTGTGCAATTATTTTTCTCCTCGTCTCACGCGCGGGCGGGTGGGCGGCGGCCGACAGGAAGTACA